TTTACATTAATATTTTGTTACAATTTTCATTTAGTAAATTGTTTAACATAGTTATATAACATATAAATCGTGTTAGTATTAGCTCTGTCAAAAGTCTTAAACATTTTCATCTCACTATTACAGTTGACTAGCGGTTGCATTTGGAGCCTTTGTATTTTATCTTTTTCATTACAGCATTCACATATAATATGAACTCTAGATAAAGGTTTAGTACAATTTGGACATTTAGATTGGGTATAGTCTATATATTTATCATTTATAATTATTCCGTATTTATTTAGCCTAAGCTGTATAAAAAACTTTTTGATGTTAAAAGCTAGATTTGTCAATATATAGTTGTTATTTACAGGATAATTTAAAATTGTTGCATACCAGCTTGTATTTTCTCGTTTTCGTATATCTTCCACGTCTTGGATAATAGAGTATTCCATAACTCTATGTATTATTTCTTTACTATATTGCTCTATATCATAATTACGATCCATAACCAGTTTAATAGAAAATCCATATTTATTAACTATCTTCGATAACTGAATTATCCAACTTCGTCTTAAGTCCGTTTCCCTTGATTTGTGATGTAGTAAGAACAGCAATTTTGTTGTTATATCTTCAGCCTTAATAATTTTTTGTAAAAACTTTAAATATCTTTTTATTAGTATAGTATTTATTCTAAATCTATGTGTTTCTAATCTTAAGGCACTACCCGGGATATTATATTCTAGCTGGAATATCTTACGTATGAATATATTCTGTATTTTCTCAAAGTCATTAAATTTTTCCATGCTCCAAATTGAAGCAGCATATCTCATTAAGTTCATCACAATCGAATTAAAAAGCTGAAAATGTATACGTAGGTTCTTTATTTTTGCCTTGCAGAATAGACCAATTAAATTATTTATTGCAATTTTTGCTTTACTTAGTGAATTTTTATAATGTTTTTCGAACGAGAGATTAGGTGTGAATGTANTAATTGTCAAGTCTTGCCGATTTTTTATGTCTAACTGTTAAATTAAAAAAAAACTCGTTATAAAAATCAGTTCATTAAACTCTAGAATGTTCTGCTACAAACCTAAGCTCTGTGAACAGTGTGTTAAGCTAAGAATTTTATTGTAATGCATTGCAAATGCCTCAAAATTAATAATCACTCATATTAAAGTAATACTAATAATAAATACTTACCTTCAGAATTTATTGAAACAGTATTCTATATCATATGAAACTAATTCAGTAATATTTCAAGATCATTTTTAAATGTTTTACTTTTTATTAAATTGTAATTCTGCCAGCCCTTTTCTACAAACAAATATTACATCTTTAATTGTGTTGGGATTGTCACCTGCGGACATTTTAAACTGTTTTACATATTTGTGCAGAGGCATAGATTTTAAAGAAATGTTGTCTCTGCATGGAAATAGTTTTTCCGGGTGATTAGACATGGCAAGAAAAATTGGACTCGTATCCAGATGTATTTTACTTTTTATTAAATTGTAATTCTGCCAGTCCTTTCTACAAACAAATTTTAAGAAATTACAATCAGAGTTTCGTTTTCTTGAAATTTTATATGTTTTAAACTCATTCTTAATTATATTTAAATAAATACTTCTTATTATAAATTTAAATGTATAGAAATTGATTAAAATATATTTAAAAACTAATCTAATTGTACATACTTTAATATATAACTAATTCAGATAGAGTTACAATTTTATTATGTTTTTAGTTAACTTTTTTAATTAAGTTGTTTTTAAAATAAATTATTTTATTGTTGTAAAATTTATTCTTAAAGTTTATTGATATCTTACTTCAATTTAAATTATTATATGAGTTCATAATTAAAAATATGAAAATGTGTATAATCAGAGTTTCATTTTATAAGATTAATATCTTTAATTATAGTTTATCAGTTAAACCATATAGTAATTCAAAGATTAATGAGTTTGTTAGATACACACAGTTTAAAGTTGATTTGAAGAAAGACTCTTTTTTAAGATTATTATTATTGCTACTTTACAATTTGAGTTAAATTCTTATACTTTATACTTTTTTACTTTCATTTAATTTTAGTAACTAAATATTTTTAATTTTTAAAACATAAGTTTCATTTCAATTCAATTACAATATAAATTTTAAGAATTATATTTTTACAGATTTTACATTAACAATTTGATAAAATGGATGAAATAATTGAATATAATCGTGTTATAATATCAAAAATAGGAAGACAAGACGTTTCGTATATCAATAAACATTCAATATGGTTAGTAAAAAAATATTTATGTATGAAAGCTTTTCGTTATTTTGTTATTAGATATAAAATGATACTAATCCTAATTTTTATTTATATAAAATTACAGAATGCGATTCAAATAGATTTTGAAGCATTTCAAGAGAAAGAGCATGAAATTATTTACCGACAGTTGGCCATAAAAGCATTACACAGTCTTATAAAAGCTGTAATAGACATTTATATAGATTCTATTAAAAAATATCAATTATAGGCGAAAGATAAATGGCAAGTCAATTTCACTAGCAAAAAATATTCATGGATTAAATTTTATAGATGAAAAACATCGGATATAACTGGTTGGGTTAAACATACTGTAGTAATTTACAAGAAGTTATTAAATCATTTTACAATGTATAACGAATTATTTTTATTTAAAGGTAGATAGATAAAAAAAAAGAAATCTTTTCAAAAACTGGAGCTACAGTTATTTAGACATTAAACTTTTTCAGTGTCAAACATCGGAAAATATTTAAAAAATTGTTATTGCCACAAATATTATATAAAAAAAGCATTGTTCTCGTTGCGATTTTTAATAAATAAGTAACAAATATAATTTAAATAAATATTATATTGAACTATTTCATCTATTTTACTTTGTCTTATTGTTAAAATATTATTTTAAGTTGCCGAGTTTTAATTTACTCGGATATTAGAAGAAATTGTAAAAATTATTATTGCAGATTAATTTTATATGAAGCAATGAACTGAACACAAAAGTTTTCTAAATACTAAAAATATTATTCCTGATCATTTGATCTGAAATTATTATATCTAAAATGAATATTGCCTTATTGTTACAAGATATTTTATAAAAACTAAAATAAAATAAAAAGTTTTCTAAATATTTATAATCTTAATTTAATCGAGAAATTTTTGATCTGAAAATAATTTATATCCAGAAAAATTATTAGGTGCAGAATTTTCTTGCTTTAGATAAACTGAAGGAAAAAGTGGAAACACTTAAATAAACTGTAACGTAAAAATAAAAAACTTTATCGAGATAATTTCAGTTTTATATTATTTCATACAATTATTGTGTTTTAATTTTATTCGATATTAAAACATTTAATAATTAATACAAAAAGTTTGTTCTATTGTTATAATAAAATTAATTTAATTTAAATTTAATAATTAATACAGCCTTATTGTTGAATTAAAATTAAGATTTGTGATCGAAAAATTAATTTTGTGATCTGAAATAATTCTATTCAACAAATTTTTATTTGCAATTTTAATTTATTCGATAGTAATTTACTCAAAAAGTTAATTTTGTGATTAGTGCCACCCAAACCACTACTACTCATATAATATAGAATTCTGTTTTGATAAATTTTGAAAATAAGTATTTATTATTATTATTATTTTAATATGACTTATTATTGGTTTTGAGGCATTTGCAATGCATTATAATAAAAATATCTGTTTAACACATTGTTCTGGAAGTTTAGGTTTGTAGTAAAATATTTTAAATAGTTCAAGAAAACTTACTTTTTGGCTTAGACATACTCTACATAAAAGTAAATCTTTCGAAAATTCACAAGTTCAATATCAATTTATGAAGGTGGTAAAATTTTAAACTATATTCATGAGTTTATAAAATATAAAACTTTGATGAACTATGTTATTCCACGAACAATTTTTGAAAGTTGGTTTTATAAATTTTATTGGGATCATTCTATAACTGTTGTAGTAAAAACCTGTCAATATCTTTTGAATTTAAATATAATTAGAGCTGTAATTTTTGTTATAATAAACAAAACTTTAATATATTCGATTATTGATTTCGAGGCATTTATGCTTCACGACGAAAATTTCTGCTTAACATTCTGTTCAGAGAGCTTATATTTATAGCAGAACATTCTGGAGTTCGGTAAACTGATTTTTATAATGAATCAATTAATTTGTTTAATTTAACAGTTAGACATAAAAAATCGGCAAGACTTGACAATTATTTGCATGGTTTATATCTATCATATGAAAAACAAATTTTAAGCAATTACACTCAGATTTTGTTTTCTTGGAGTTTAATATTCTTTAAACAGTTTTTAATTATATTTAAACAAATACTCATTAATATAAATTTAAATAACACGAACTCGTATCTATAAATCTTTTACCGGTGTGCGTATCATCACACTCTACAACAGTTACAAACGTTTTCGAATTGTTACGGTTCTTCTTTAGGTAACGATCCCCTAACGGAATGTGGTTCAAAGTTGTTACGAAATACGATCCGAAACGATGTCCGTTATAAATTTAAATGTATATAAATTAATTAAAATAATAATATTTATTGATAATAAGTTAATATTTAATAAATAAATGTAATCATACATATAAATTTTTAAAATATATTTAAAACTAATCTAATTGTACCTACTTTAATATATAACTAATGCAAATAGTGTTACAATTTTATTATGTTTTTAGTTAAATAAGTTATTTTTAAAATAAACTGTACTATTGTAGTAAAATTTATTTTTGCACTTGGTTGATATATGATAATTTACATTGAAGTGAGACGAGTTTCTGAAAGAAAAGGTATATAATCAGCGTTTCATTTTATAAATTCAATATCTTTAGTTAGAGTTTATCACTTAAATAAATATTATTTCAAAAAAATTATAATTTTAGTATAAACCATATAGTAAATTAAAGTTTAATAAGTTGGTTTGATCACACAGTATAAATTTGATTTGAAGAAAGATGCTTTTTTAATATTATTATTTCTTTTGTACAATTTGAGTTAAATTCTTATACTTTATAATCTTTTACTTTCATTTCATTTTAGTAACTAATTTGTTATTTTTAATTTTAAAAATATAAATTTTATTTCAAGTGAATTACAATGTAAATTTGAAGAATTGTATTTTTATACATTTGACATTAACAATGTAATAAAATGGATGAAATAATTAAATATAATATCAATAATAGGAAGAAATGAAATTTGGTATATCAACGAACATTCTATATGGTCAGTAAAAAATATCTATGTATAAAATCTTATTGTTATTTTTTTATTAAATATAAAATAAAACTAATTCTAATTTTTATTTATATAAATTACAGAATGCGATGCTAATAGATTTTGAAGCATTTCGAGTTATCGACAGTTGACCATAAAAACATTAGACAGTTTTATAGAAGCTGTAAAAGACATTTATATAGATTTTGTTAAAAAGTATCAAGTATATTTTATAGCAAAAAAGTTCACGGATTAAATTTTATAGACAAAAATCTATTTAAAACTAGAACTACAATTATTTAGACATCAAACTTCTTTTGGTGTCAAAGATTGAATAAGATTAAAAAATTTATTATTATTAAAAATATTTTTTATAATATTTTTTGAAGTTGTCGTGTTTTATTTTACTTGCATATTAAAACAAATTGTAAAAATGATTATTGTAAATTAATTTTATAATAATGAATTTTATAATTACAAAGAATATATTAAACTTTGCCTTATTGTTATAATATTATTATAAGTTGTGTTTTAATTTACTCGGATATTAGAACAAATTGTAAAAATTATTATTGCAAATTAATTTTATAATAA